CTTGGGCATGGTAAGAAATTAACATGGGATTTTGTTTGCAGAAGTTGATACCAGTAAGCCCAAGGAAATCAAATTTTATCACAGATGTTGGGTTAGCCATGGCACTGTTTGAACAATGGGATATGACATTGTGTGATTAAACGTATGAGAACTGCTTCTGTGACTGTGTGTGTGTGTGTGCATGTGTGTGCAATAGTCTCCTGCACAATTCCTGGTGAAAAAAAGACAGTGCAATGTAAAGGTGCATCTACTTCAGCCTAACTCTTTAAAAGTTCATTCTTCATGGTCTCTTTATCTATTAATTGGAATAGAGAAAAGATGCCTGTTTCAATGAACTGTACCAACTTTGTGGTGGGAACTTTTGCATGCTACCTGAAAGACTGTCGCCATTGTTAATCTATTGTTAATAATCTATACTATGAAATTGATACTAAAAAATTCAGTCATTACCATTAACTGATACAGGGTCTTAAATCTAATAATTGTTTGTGGATAACCTTCAATTGATCCATACTCCTGCAGAGTAAATAGGAGTTTTCCACTGACTTCAATTCACTGTGCAATAATTTATAAGAATATGGCTTCCTGCAAGCAGAGACATGGATCCGCACACCATGCTAGTTTTATTGTAAATCCAACTTCTCAACCTGCTAAAGTAAGTAAAGTCATGGAAGGTGGGTAAATACCTGGTCTTCTGCTACCCTGTGGCTACCCACACTATTTCCCCACTGTGCTTGGAGGACAAGTTTATCTAGGATTATCTGCCAATATGTAGTTCTCCACAACCCTGCAGCAAAGATTGATGATTTGCATTTGCCTAAGGCAAATTTTAAATACCTAAATATTTGTGTGATCATAGACCTTCATAACAAAGTGCGTCAGTAAGTCCCTGGGAAGCAGCATTTCATCCCTGCCACAGTGGGGACAAAAGGGCATAAAGTCATAAAACCAAATGGCATATCCTCAGAAAACCAGGTTAGCAGCAGAAGCGATGAGAGGAGCTATAATAGGACCAAAGTACTAGATTTCATGAGATATGGTCATGCAAGCTCAGCCTCAGTCTCTGGCCAGGCATGCTCTCTCAGTATTTTCAAAATATGATGTAAGATATCATAACTTCTTACTTCTTTACTGAACCTCAGCTTCCAGTTTCTAAGTCTTATTGTTAAATGTGCAGGCCATGATTTTATGTCTCCACTGGCAATTTAGGACTACCACATACAAAGTACTATCCCTATTACTGCTTTTCTCCAGTGTATTTTTAAGGGTCTGAAGTACTGCCTGGATGTCAACTGTGCATAATCTGCATGAGTCATTATGAATGAGTGATGGAGAAGGGATCCTTATCTGCATGCAGCTCAATCTACAACCACTGTCAACTGCCCAGAAAAAGTCAGTATACTTAAGACACAGAGAACATAATTTCTATTGCTGCTAAGTATATTGAACTTTGCAGTGATTTGAATGAATACTGTGCATGTAAAGATGTCAACTACCAAAGACAGAACAATGTGAAAATCGCCGATGTAAATTTGAGGAGAGTGAAGGACAACACCAGATAGCTTAATTCCTTTAATAATGATTTTGCATCCAAGCCTAATACTGTTTTGATGGGCCTGAGATTATACTGATGCATCAGTGAGATCCCTCTGGTAAATGGTGCACTCCCCCAGTGCACAAGACATGACTCACCTATTCATTTCACTGCAGTCAGCAAACATGTCTTAAGGTATGTGGTGTGCTGCCTCTTGATTCACTAGAAATAGTTGGTCGAGTTTAAATAGGTCAAGAGTGAGACTGTATCACACAGTAAGTTCTGTTTCACACTGCAGCACAGGCCATTTCCTTCTTCCCACTACACTCAGACAGTACAAAATGTACAGAATAGGAGGTTAAGAGACCTGCCCCCTAATGGCTTTATTAGTTGCCAGAGAGGGCTCATAAGAGGTGAAGGGAGATAGCCCCACAAAAGCCTGGGATACAGACAATCTGTGATAGCAGACTGAAGGAATGGAGATAGGATAAGTGCTTCCTTAATTCCCTTTCTTTTACCAAGCATTGCCTTGGACTTTTCAGCTGAACTGGGTTATAAAGGCCTTTTTTAAATTTGCTTGTGCAACAGTACTAAGCAAAAGGGAAGTGATTTAACTATCCCATAGAGAAAACAAAATACCACTTTTAGTGCTCAGTACAAGTTATCACTTGGAATTACTTCTGTACCTTTCTCTAAGATACTCTTTCCAGTATTTAGGAATCAGCCAAAAAAACAGTGTATATTGAGGGAAAAGTGATCTACAAACTGTCCCTTGCATGAAAGGGTGGAATATGTTTGAGAAGCATTTTCCCTGAGTGACAATTCTGAGGTAGTACAGCAGCAGCCCTGTCTCAGCATGTCTTGGCAGTGGGCAGACACAGAAAGTAAAAAAACCCCAAACCATATTACTACTTCTTCCTACAATGCAGTTCAGAATGGGAATCTCTCACAAGAGACTGAACAGGCACAGCTTGTCTATGAAGGCTAAGTGGAATGAAAAAAATAATATAAACAGGAAATAGAAATCTCTGTAATATTATTGTTTTGTGAAAAGCAAGGGTTTTACCCAGTAATGTGTATTCTCTAAGATTACCACTAAAGGCAGGTAAAATCTACCTACTTAGCTGAAAGATGCAGTCTAAGGTTCAAAGAGGCTCTAGTTTTACTTTCTACATATGACAATCCACAGACTTCAGCTACTGCTTCCATACTGCCCAATAACCTAAATGAATACAGCATACAGCACTGTACACAAGTGCTATTGTTAAATTCAAGGTGGTAAGAACTGGAAAATCCACTGTGCCTGTTCACATTCTGGGTTTTCAGATAATTATGCTGTTTCCAGGGTATGCCTCTCCACGTGGTTTATGAAAGGGGCCGTCCTTGGCACAAATCCACATGGGCACAGTTCTATACATTTCACTGGGACTAAACACAGACCTAACTGCTTTGCTGAGCTGAAGGTCATTTCTGCAAGTACTTAGCTCTTTCCCTTAGTAATCCATCTGCCCTGTTTGGTCCTGTTTTATAGGACAATAAAAATCTGTCCCTTTTAGACCCTTCTACAGAACCTCCACCCCAGTGGGCTGGGCAGCAGTGTGTTATTACATGCAGTAGCATACTTGCTCACTCTATTTTAATGATGCAAGAAAGGACCACATATCCTGTGAGTAAATCTGTCTTTCAAATCAAGTCATCAATTCAGTGGAAAGGTCTGGGCTAGAAATGGAAGTTTACAAATCATCTTAGCTGTGATTTTAGCTGTGAGGCACAATAACCTGAATGTTACAAGCAGCTCAGTGAGGAAAAAGGTCTTGGAATGATGCTCAAGTTTGTCTCAAATAACTTCATGCTGCCAAAGAAAGTTTGCACTGGATGGATTTATAAAAGCAGTATAAAGAAAGCTTATAAATCATCTGTACATGACCCTGCAGGTTAACAAAGGGAAAGTGAATTCTGTTTGCACATTGAAATAAACATTTTTCTAAATCCATCCCTGCAATCCCCAAACCTCTGTACAAACACAGAATAATGACTCAATTATGATCTATGCTACCAACTACAAATACATGACTACCTTTCCCCTTATGGTGGTTTTAAAAATAAACTCACACAGTATGGAATTGAAGATGTTAATATGGGGAAAGGAAAAGCCTGGCACCAAATTTATCTTCCCTTCAATGCATGACAGTTTCCCTACATACATCTGCAAAAGTTTTGATCAACCTAGCTTCAGCCCTAGGCAAGTAGAGTAGGCCTCCTCTTCTGATTATTCCTCGGTCCAGTCAATTTTACTTTATGATAAGCTTCTAACACTCAGGCTAAATGATGATTATCGAAAGGGTTTTCTTATGTTCTTAGCACCAGTTTATTCAGTTTGCCTCATCCTTGGAAATAACTCTCTTAAAATACTTGCAAACAGTTAACCTGATTTTCTTTACTCCTGATAACAATTCCTCAGTGAAAATGTTGTTTACATATTTTTTTCTACTATATCCACTCCCCTAATAGCTTTTTATTTTGGGCTGCTTTGCTGAAAATTCCTTTCATTTCACTGCCTATACTGAGCTGCCCTGGATTTCTGGCCTAGTTCCACTCCAGTTGTGTAAGGTAGAGAAACTGTTATTGCTGAGGTCTTTTTTTGTGAGCACACAATACAGGACAAAAGCCAAAGGACTGATGCTCTGTAGGTTCTAACTATTTAATGTATTCCACTATTTCTCAGTGTGGCCTTATCTAAGAGCTAATTGCATGTGGAAGAAAAGGGTCCTGAACAATTTTTCTTTAGCCTTCAATTCCCACACCTGATGCAGATTTTGAGCAAGATGCCAATTCAAAGGAGGAATGAAGGTCGTTGTTCCAAACCTCTACACAACACTACCCACAAAAATCTGTCTTCTTGGTAGCTGCTTGTACTTATAAATACTTTCACTCAGTAAACTTATTTTTTTAGCTGGTAGAAGAGAGTCTTTTAATATGAACCTCATGAGGCACTCATCCTCCTCTAGCCTAGAAAAGCACAAGCTTTGAATTCAGAAGGGAAAGGAGATCTGACAGATTACCAAATCGTCCTTCTTGTTTACAGCCACTAAAGATTATTTAGTCATCTCCTAAAAATCAAAACAGACACTTTAGTGGTCCTGGGGTTCTTCAAGAACTATCACTGGAACAAGAAGTTATATGTAGACCATCAATTACATTAACAGCCATATAATGAACAATAGGAAGCCTAGGTGGCTTTAATGGAGTTATTTATGATATTACGCTAAGCTCAGCAATGGTAGCGGAATTATTTATGTAGTTGAGCTATGGAATTTATGCTTCCAGTCATGCCCTACATTGGGCATGACTGGAAGGAGAAATTCCAGTGCTTCACTGGAATACATCTGTAGCACCTTTTTGCAGAGTTACTGAGTGTTTCACAAAGTTTAACGAAAGACCAACAGGAATTCAGCGCTGACGTTACCGATTGAGCAGTCATGGCCGGTCCAGTTGGGATCGCAGCTGCAGAGTCCAGTATCCGGGAGGAAGGTCCCATGACCAGAGCACTGATCCAGACAGGTGGCTCTCGGGGTCTCACAATTTGTTCCTCCCCAGCCAACCGAACAGTGACATTCTCCTCGGACACACACGCCTCGTCCCGAGCAGGTAGGATCCATGCAGTCCACTACATGGGAGAAGGAAGAGAAAGCAGACAGGGAAAGCAAATGGGACTTTGGGAAAAAAGCTATCAGACTGCTGTCTACACAAATATATTTACACAGTATCTCAAGGTTTCAACCAAAAAGCTCTGCTGTGAACAAAACAGATGCTTCATGCAAGAAGTCAGTGGCCCTAAAAGGCAGTGAGACCTAAAACACCTACATGAAAAGCAGAGAAAAATCTAGTGATGAAATCCATTCTTTTATGCAGGTCTGCACTAATAAGGGATCTTTCTGGTAAGAACAGGCTAATATCAATTAAGAATAAAATAAGAATAATACTCTATCATACACATAGCGTGTCTTCATTTATTCTCTTAAAATAACCTAAATTACTATTACTAATGAATTTGAAGCTGAGCCCTAGTTTTCTGAGAGAGAATTTTGCATAAAGATTCAGCAGAAGTTGACATTCTTATTCAGCAAAATACATGCTTAAATTGAAGAATGTGCTTAAATCTATACAGGTTTCATGGAGACTTAAAGAAATTTCACACTGAAAAATAGCCATAGACATTTTTTCTTGAATAAGGATTAAAATAAAATCATGCCTTTTTTATAATGGTGTTCTTCTGGTTTTATTTTTGATCAATTAATACTCTTTTTTATAATGTTTGAGGTTTACTTCCCCCCCACAGAGAGGAACTTTCCTAACAAGATCAGAGACCATTTAGTTAGGGGTATAGCAATGTACACCAAAAGACCAAATGTACTTCCTCCCTGACTCTTGAGTTATGTGTTTTGTAGGCAACTGTCAGCTGCTCTGCCCACAGGGGAATTACACCCAGTAATCGAAAAATATGAAATGCACCAGACACCCTCCCAGAAAAACTGACTGGAGGAGTCGATTGTCTATTTATAGATAAAAGCTGATAGGACAGCCTAGAGAAATTCTTCCCGTCTTTTGAAACGGTGTGTGGCAGTTCCCTGGGGATTGGTGACAAGTGTCAGTCTGGCAAAGCAGCACAGGAAAACTGTCCAGCTTCTGGCTCTGATACAGCAGAGCAGAACATGGCTACCGCACACAAGACAGGTTTGTGGTTCAGCTTTTACCCCTGGAAAAGCTAATAAGAATTCCACTGACCTGTTTAAGATCCAGAAACCTTAAAAGGAAACACAACAGCTGCTCTGGTAATTCCCTGGATTCTCAAACCCTTCTCAGTCTGACAAGTAATGGCTCAGTTATTACTATCCCAAGGCATGAGAGAGAATTTTCTTTTTTGTTTGATTCCTGGAGCTCTGCTCATAGCTGGAACAATCCTCAAAAATTTTAAGAGGCTGGAAAGGATGAGTCCATAAATCTCCTTCACTGTTAGTGAACTGGGAGCGAGGGTACCAATTTTAGCATGAGACCCTTGAAGCCCTGGCCCTGTTCTTTCTCAGCAGCAATAAGTATGAAAAGGACTAAGGGATGGAGTAGCAGCCTCGTCCGTTCTCAGCAGATGGTTTGAACATAGAGAACAAAGATCACAGGCTAACTGACAAGAGGCTACCTCCAGGCAATTAATCATCCCCTCTGAAGGTCAGCTGGGAAAAAGGTGAGTTTTGCAGGGGCCTCCATCACAGGAGGCAGACAATCTGCTATCTCAGCTCTAACACAGACGATTATAGGAGGGGAATGTGCATGTCAGAACCCCCCATTTATCATAATCCCAAGGCCATTTTTCATGTTGAAATGAGCCCTTTCAGAAAATGTCACACACAACGGCTACTTTAATCTCAGCCTCACTGGATCTATCTCTTTAGGCTTTCTGCACCATCGGAAGGGCCCTGGGACAGGATTACAGGCTTCTGCTTTCTTCTTAATCAATTGCTTAGTGGATTTGGAGTACAATGGTATATTTTTAGGGAGTTCTGCCTGACAAATTTAGCTGCTCAGCTCTGGGAGAAGCAGAGATGAGGAGCTGGGCATGAGGGCAGAGCTGACAAGATCTAGTATACCCGGAAAAGAAAAAAAAAAAATCATATGCTGTGTTGTTGGTTGGAAAATGTCCCAAATGGCGAAATTCTTGGTTGGAAAATGCCCTGTTTATAGTTAAGCCTTGTGCAGAACCTTTGCCAGGGAGATAAATCATGTAGCAAGCAAGGTTAGCGCCTCTTCTACACTTTTCCCCAATATGCTTCATGCTTCATTGGTCACACAAGTTATTAGGCTTATTCGGTGCCCAAAGAGTAACTTCTCATATTTCACTTCTTAAATTTGCTCCCCTCCCTGCAATGTCTCACTGGCTTAGGCCATGCCTTATAAAATATGGGCCAATAAACTAAGGAAAGAGAAAAGAAAATCTCGTGTAGGATTGTTGGCTGATGTTTTATAAACATTGGTGAACTTCTATGGGGAAAAAAGAAAAGACAGGAGAAACCCTGGAATGAAAACCCATAACAAACATGGACCAAGCAGTGAAGCTACGAGAACTGAGAAATAATAAAAAGTAATCAATACCAGATGGCCCTTCTTAGAAGAGAAATTAAAGAGTAAAAGCAATATAAAAAATAGTATAAATCAACTTTTTTACTAAATCTAAATATGTATGTATATGTTCTCAAGATTTCCCACATGGCATATTTCTGAGCTGCTTCCCCCCCCCCCCCAATGTAATACAAATTATGCCTGAGTATCAAAAACATGCATGCTTGGAAAAATACTAAACAGCCCATAAGAAAAACCATGTTCTCTTTGTTCTTCCTCCTTTTTCAAGTTTTGACCTAGTGGGACTGACACTGTCCCCCGCTACAGCGATAACATAAAATAACTGAGCAGTGCCTGGCTTTTCTGCTTTAAACGTGACCAGGGAAACAAAGGTTCCTGTTAGAAAAAGGGCAAATCTCACTCTGATTTACACACATTAAACACTTCTGGCTGGAGGCAAAATCGGGATCTTTTCATTTCTGTTTATCCAGTAAAGATATGATCTAGTAAATAGGAGGTCTACAGAGATGCTTTAAAGATACTTGAGTAGTCACAATCTTTGGGTTTTGCATGCCCCACAGCTTCACTGAATTGTGCTTTAAGACAAAATGAGGCTTTCACAAGAGATGGTTTATTGTTACAAGAGCTGATACTGTCTTCATCTCTAACCTTTACTGACACTGAAGCCATGCTACATCAGAGATGTCCCACTCCAATACATTATACACATCAAAAGAATTGCTAGATTAGATGCCATTTGACTGTCTGAGTCCAATTCAGCTTATTTTCATTGCCTAAAAAATAGAGCCATTTCAGATAAATCTTTATCCTGCATACATGAAGACAACCATAAATTAATTCAAGCCCTTGTCATTCTTGAATGAATCAAATGATGTCTTTAATCTATCAAGCAGGGAAGAGGCCTTATATATGTACTTGTAAAAGTGCAGTTTAAGAATAATTATTTTTCAGGTCACCAGCATAGAACTCTGAGAACAGTTTTCAAAAGTTTTGAACATTATTCTTTAAATAATGCTCTTCTGGATATATATTTATACTCTCTGAATGATTTATAAACTTGCAAAACTGTCCACTTTTTCATTAGCAGTAAGAAGCAGTCACAGACCCAGGAAGATAAAGGTTTATGTTGGCAGGTGAGTTCCTACACAAAAAGATTAAAGATAAGTACTAAAAGCAGCCATAAATCTAAATGTAAATGAGAACTGTTTGGGGGGCTAATGTGAGAAAAAAGCTATGGAAGAGCCATTAAAATAATATCTGACTTTGAAGCAGAATTTAATTAAAGTCCTGAGCATTTCTAAGCTTTTAAAGCTGACAAGGACCAGGGACTTTTTCTCACACGCCACCATTTTGTGTATGTAAGCAACTGAAATTGCCTGGCATAGCGCAGCAGAGAAGAAAGCGCTGTAAAAGTAATTATACGTTTAGATGTGTAAATGGAAATGATGCTTTAATAAGAACATTTGAACATATGATTAGATGTTCTGGTCTTTCAACTAGATTCTTCTATCTGAAGCATTTGATGGCTTTTCATCCAATTATTGAACAAGTATGATAGCTAACAAGGAGTTATGACAACATATCATTTTTACGTTGTATCCATCTATTGTATCTGTAAGGTGCCTATTATTGTTCTGTTTAAGTGCCAGTCCATGCTGAATTGCCTCCATCCATATAATTACAGAACAACAATCAAAGCAAAAGGCTAATTGAATGCATCCTGCAAATACCTTCTTCACAGCTCTCGCCTTTGTATCCCGGGTTGCAGATACAGGTGCCCATGATGCATGTGCCATGGTTATTGCAGGAGACATCGATGCACTGGTTGGTTGGGACATCACACTCTGCTCCTTTCCAGCCACTGTGGCACAAGCACCTTCCCTTCATGTACTGCCCATTTCCACTGCACAGCACTGGGCAGGACGCTATGGACAGACAACAAAAATCACATTAAAACAAAAGGAAAATCATTTCAAAAAGAAGCACAAGAGTCCAGCATGTAATTTACATTCTTCATACGCAATCTTCACTGGGGTATGCTGCTGTTTGTTTTGCCAAAACCCAATGTTTTATATGGATGATACCCAGCTGTTAACTGTATTCTCCTACAAGTGTTTAAAACAAACAAATAGTGCTCTTAAGTTAGACTATCTTTTTGCTTTGTGTCTCTGACACCTTTTTTCACTAACTAAACTCATCGTTTTCTTGTATTCTGATTTCACAATGTACTGATGTCTTCTTTCTGGAGCATCACTGACCTTAGATTGCTTATCACTATCCCTGACCTGCTGCCAGACGTTCCTTGACACTGCCTCAGTGGCACACAAATCACTCCCCTGTTTTTTTCTGAGTTAACTCTCAGCTTTATAGGTTTCAGTTGCTTTGCTCAGAGCCCAGAATACCACAATGGGACTACTTCCCTGATTTAGCTCATGTCATACCATCAGCTATCAACCTTCTTCCCTGAAAGGGTTGTCAAGCACTGGAGCAGGCTACACAGGGAAGTGACTCAGTCACCATCCCTAATGGAATTTAAAAGATGTGTTGATGGGGCATAGGGGGATTTGGCTTAGTGGTGGACTTTGCAGTGCTGGCTTAATAGCTGAACTTGATGAAAAGAGTTTTAGAGGTTTTTTCCAACCTTCACAATTCCATGGTGAATGTCCAGCCCCCATTTTTGGTTATCATCTCTGCTGGACTCCATTCATCACCAGCCACAAGGCAAAATTGGCCTCTACTGTTTCTAAGCTCCCTCTAATAAAAGCTATGTAAATCTATCCTCTGAAATTTGTATAATTTATAAAGGACTTATAAAGGATTTTTAATTGTCCTTGTTTCCAGAAAAGGCAGGTGGCTCTCAAGGCCACCCAGATACAGGATTTCTTCCCTGTGATAAAGGGAAGAAGAAGAAAATGACAAGGTCAAGCTGTGGCATGATGGATTCCAGGATTAAGCATTTTCAGAGCTGAATTTGGAAAATGTCAGGAAAATTCCAAATGAATTTGGAAAATGGGATGAGATGAAGGATACAGAACAAGTTCCCCAAGGAAGCAGAGGGCATCAAGGACCAGACCTCAGACTCCAGATGACAGCTTTTTGTAATCACTGCTCTTCAAGCTTTCTCCAGCTCCTTTCAGATGATGTCTTCTCCCTATGGCATTCTCCACACCAGCCACGTTATACTCCTTTTGTCCCCTCTTCTGATTTTGCCAAGGAAGATTCTGATTTCAGTCCCTCAGAAACAACAGCTTTTTCCTGTTCACTCTGCCTTGAAACTTCTTGATTAAGTCTTGTTCTCTTTAATTTTATTTTGCTCAAACTCTGCTGCAAGGACATATATTCAACACAGACTGCTCTTGTTCACTGTTGCACATCAGCCTTAGGTGAGAGCAGCTGGTCTTCTCATCTGCCTCTCAGAAAGGCAATTTATGAACAATTTTATAGAGGACAAATGTGAAATGAATATTCCATTCTGATGCTTAATCCAACTGGATTAGGCATGTGATGAATTCTCTTTTGCTTTGTTCCTGACTTTGGTTATGTGTGGGAAGGGGTATTACATGGTTAAGGAAAGCTTTCCTCTCCTTCTCTTCCATATTTTCAGACAGTAATCTCACAAAGTGCATCATGAGTTGTTCCCACACGTCCTCATAGTCAAGTCAGTTTGAGTGTTCCAGAACTACAGCAGCCTCAATAAAATACAAAGCACTGCCAACACTGACTGTAAAACCAGTTTGATATGCAGTGAACTGTATTTGCCTGACCAAGATAAAAGAGGTTTAGGAAAGAAAGGAATTTGGCAATTGTTATTACTAAGGAGCATTCTGTTCACTTTAAAGGAAACACGATGCCATGGTGCATTGCAAGTGGATAATTTGCAAGATAGTATCTACCTACACAATATGAGACTTAAATTGTGTAAGATACACTGTATTGTGTGCATGGTTCACAGCACACTCACTCTGTAATTTCACTTTTCAGCTAAGTGATGGAATTTTCTGCCCCTCCCATCTCAAATTTCAATGCTCAGTAATGGACATTGTTCTTTCAAGCCACTGGCAGGGGATAGTCTGCAGTTCTTTTCAACAAGAAGAAAGAATAACTGCCTTTAACCAGGGAGAGGTTGCTGAGAAAGACTTACAGGTTTCCTGACAAGACAGCTGATCACTCAGTAAAAGATCAGATAAATTACTGACCATCTGCACTGAGACTGACACTCCACAGAGCCTTCTGTGGAGAAGTCCTTCAGCATCACCTGGAAAGAACTGCTTCAAATGTCAAGGCAATGGAGAGAACAAGACTTCCTCTGTAGCATGCAATAATGAATAAACACAAAAGAGGTTTCTGAATTTTTTCTCCTGGTATTTATGCAACTCTTTTCCATATATAAAGATATATAATTATTATTTGATCATTCAGATTCCAACAATGTCTATGATGGCAAAATTACAGTAATTCTCTAGTGTGGTAATGACAGCAGCAATCCAAATGCATACTCTTGTTTCTTGCAAAGTTGAGCATCAGTGAGTAAGATCATTTGTTTGTTTGTTGACTTTAAACAGAACTTGAAAGGGCCACCTCCCATGTCCAAGAAAACCTTCAAAACGCCTATGGAATACACCTCTGGTGACTTGCTCTCATTTATTTTTTTTTAAATAATTAGTTAATAATACATTAGAAATTAACCATTACTAAAATGTGAAAGGCTTTCTGCTCCAGAGTTTCCCATTCACTTGGATGGTAAATTACAAGGCTGAACTGAAATAAAGGAACACCCAGGAAATCCATGGAATGCTTCATGTGAGCAGGAACCTGCTTGTTTAAGGATTACTGCTCTGCACAAGGATTATGAAGGGCTGCAGATGGATACTGTAACTGCCTTACACACGCTGCCTTTTGAGGGACTTATAGATCAAAAGAAGAGTCTTGGATGCCCCTGAAAACCAACAAGACAATCCTGGAATCCTTGCATCTCATGCTCATGGCAATATTTAACACACTCAGTGAATGGACATGCATATACAAACATAAATTTGGCATTCCAGGTATTTTTCTGTCTTCCTAAAGGCAGAGTGCAACATCCAAACCCAGATGATTCTGAAGGAAAAGACAGAGTTTAACAAAAGGTGTTCATAGCAGCTGGAGCATGTGCTCTGGTGAAATGCGAGACTCACATCGCTCCCTTGAAAAGCCTAAGAAAGTTCAGGGTAGCCAGGGAGGGGAGGTGAGCTCCTCTGCAAGTGGATTCAGAACAAGAGTTTAAGCACTCTGACTCGCAGTGAAGAAAGTTCTTCTTCTCCACAGACTCTACAGGGAGCCTTGAGGGAAATAAGCCCTGAACTTCTGCCCCTACTGAAAGTTAGGAGGTGTGAGCTGGAATATGCTATGGGACATGGAAAAAACTCCTTTTGTCTCCAGCTCTAGGGATTTGAAAAGGAGCTTGGAAATGCAAACCAAGTGTAAGGAAATGCAAACCAAGTGTAACCTGAGTCAGCAAGAAGTCTGACATAACAGCTCTCAGGGACACAGCTTGCCACATCCATCTTACTGGGCTGTGAACTCTGAAACCCCGCCGGGTTCAGCCCGGCCCCGCTGCCTTGGCAGGGAGCTCCCGCTGGCCCTGGGGGTGCTCGGCTCCTTATCTCTGTCTCCTGCCTCGCTGCTGGGATGTGACCCAGCTCAGCTGGAGGGGGAGAGGGCTGGGGTTGGACAGAGTTTAGCTCTCTCTTGGGAAGGCGCCAGCCTGCTTTCCAAAGCAGCAATGAGCTGGGGTAAAGACCTGACCTGCAGCCTCACCGCAGCTCCTTGGGTGGGCACTAACCTTTTATGCTACCTCCCTCTCCAGATTTATAAATCTGTACTTAGTTTGTTGGACTGTTTGAGCCAAAAAAGGCCTTGAAAAGGTTGATGCACAGTATCCTGTCATTTCCCACATGCAAGGTTTTCATATCTTGGTTTGAAATGTGTTCTTACTAAAAGTATTTCAGTTTGTTTTTTAAATGTTCAAATAACCTAAAAAATTCAGGCCAAAGAAAACCCTTCCAAAGCCATTTTTTAAAAATACTTATCACTTGAGCAGAAAAACATATTATACTGTTTACTGGGGTGAGTCTCCTTCCCAGTCCTCCCAGTGTTTTCACTTTTGGCCAGAGTAACCAGTTGTTCCTACCATTATCCCACTCCTAGCCTTATGCTAACACTGCCCTATTCCCCACAGCCAGGCTCAGGCAGACTTGCCAGGTACTTTCTGTATAATCAGTATCTTAAAAGAAAGTATCATTATACTGTCATGCCACACCATGATAAAAGTGCTCTGCTAAACAAACCATAATGCCACATTTATAAGTCCTGTTTTCTAAAGTCAATTCCAGAGAGAAAATTTCCAACACGACATTTGCCTGTCCACAAGCAGCCCAAGGGGTTGTGCTGTTGCTAAGGGCACAGCAGACACGATTAGGAAAGAATCACAGCATCATTAAAGTTGGAAATGCCCTCTGAGATCGAGTCCAACCCTGAGCCCAGCACTGCCAGCCCACCTCTAAACCATGTGCATAAATGCCACACCTACACTCCCAGAGATGGTGATTCCACCACTCCCCTGAGCATCCTGAATCCTTTGCTGAAGAAATTTTCCCCAATAGCCAATCTAAACCTCTCCTGGCACAACTGGAGGATGTTTCCTCTTGTCCTATCACCTACTTAGGAGAACAGACCAATCCCCACCTGACTACACCTTCCCTTCAGGTAGTTCTAGAGACCAGTAAGATGCTCCCTGATCCTTCTTTTCTCCAGGGTAAACATCCACGAGCCCCTCAGCTGCAGATCGAAATTTTAGCAAATTTGTGGCAAACAAAATTCACAGATCAACTTCTTTCCACTCTACTGCAGCATCCCCACACTGGGTGAAGAGTACTTTGCAGAAGGCACTGTCATGAATATAATTTCCAGGACAAAAAGTTAACTGAATGGGAGAGGGTAATAGTTCACCAGGCATAAATTCTTACCTCTGCCACAGTCAGGGCCCAGAAAGCCAAGGAAGCAATGGCAAGTCCCAGACACGCAGTCTCCATTCCCATAGCAATTACTGGGACAGTTATCCACTGATTCTGGAAAAAAAAAAGAATTCAGACACTTCTTTAGGCAAGAAAACACCTCTGAGTTTAGGAGAGCTCTGGATGGGCAGGACACTTGAAACTTCAAAGCAATTGCTGCACTTGGGTTGAAAGCATTAGTGTGAGCTGCACTAAACCTTGCTCATTCATTTACATCAGTGGATGGTTCAACTGCAAATTCTGTGATTAAATATGAGCTGCTCAGCACCCACCAGGTTGGGCATTCTCTTGGTACCTGAAAACTTCCAAATGTCTTTTTTTTCTGTATATTTTTACGACCATTTTTCGTCATTGAATTTGTTGGAGGGATGCAATACACACCATTCTCATGGCAGAACATACACTTTTGGTCCAGTTTTGTTGACTTGATTAAGTGACCTTGAGGCCTTTATTTGTGCCAAAAAGAGCTGAGTGATGATAGATATGTTCCCTTATGAACTTACTGAACACAGACCCTTGGTTCATCCTATCTGCTTGTACACAAAATACCTCTAACCAAATTTCTTCTTATTTGCTCTGCAATATTATATTGAATATAATACATTATACTTTATATCATTTGTATCTTAAACAGCTTAAAGTGCTGGGGCTAATATTCTATTTGGTGGAACAGGAATGGGTCTATTTCACATTTTCTATTTCTAGTTACCATCTTAAATTGCCTGACTTTGGCAAAAACACCAGCTATTCATTTTTCAGGGGAAGTTAACAGGTAAGCAAAATGTTATCTAGCACTTCTCTTTCGAAGAGAGTTCAGAATATTGGGACTAAAACATATCTTTCATAAAAGAACAACACAAGCTGATAAACAGATCAAAAAGAAATGAAAATAATCTTATTTTCTTACACTAAACTGAGTGAAGACTGAGTAAATGTGAGTGGGGCTTTGAAAGACATTGTAATAAATACCACGGTTCATTCTAAAGTGCTATTTCACATGTTCTCTAAGGGAGATGCCTATCAGATGAAAACTGGATTTGGTTACAGAGCAGCACTGGTGGTACACATGGAGTGGGGTGAAAATCTCAGCCCTGTGAATAATGACTGCATTTGCACAGATACTTCATACTTCCCACTTCATGCGACCTCGTGGGAGCAAAGTTATTTGTAAACTCCCAATCAGTGCAAGTGAAGAGAACCAGAGACAGCAGAGATGTGCAGATTAGTTTCCAATCACAAATGAAAGGAAGCCAGTTTCTGGATGGGTGTCTGCCAAAGAGCAGAGGTTTCTGAAGGACATTTTAAAGGCTGTGGTAGAATTCAATAATTCACAATGGATAACAGCAAATTTAAATAATAAAACCAGTTTAAAGCATTTATGTTTTAAGTCCTGGCTTCAGACATCTCACAAGCAGACAGCTCCATGCAGCAAGAAAGGTACAAGGAAGTGCTGTCAGCTTTCTAACACTCAGTAGTTAAGCAGGTATTCACTTCATGGTGTGTGGAACAACATGCAGTCAACCCTTTAGGCTTGAGTTGCCATCTTTGCTAGTTAAAGAGCAGCCATGCTTCCTAGAATAAAGATGTAACAACTAAGGCCTTGTGCATTTATAATGATATTTAGGAATATAATCTCTCACTTCATAGCAGGTATAAACACAAATCTATCCTGTAAATCAAAAGTTAATATTAGCCCATGTGTATACAATCTTCAGAACTCTGACACAGGTTAATGTCAGAGTTTTGTTTTTGTTGAAAACAAAAATTAATGCACATTATGATTTTTTTTTCCTCTATGCTTTTTTTACAATACTTATATTTTTCTTTTCTTCAAGAAATATACCCAGAGATTTAGGAAAAGGAAGTTATTTATGTACATACTTACACGCATGAAGAACATAGAGAGTGTGAGTTCTGCGAAACAAGATAATGAGATGGGCAAGGAGATTTAACCACTCCTGCTGCTGAAAGGGTCAGTCCTTTTCCTCTAATCTACTCATCCTAAGAACAACTCTAAGCTCCCTCTTTTTGCGCTGCTTCTGGCACTTGTCAGACCCTCTGATGAGGTGGTTAAGCTCAAAAGGTGGCAAAAAAAAGGAATGCAGCAGAAAAAAAACCTAGAGTATTTTTTTTCCCTGCTGCCTGAAAACTGAGAAGAGAAGGGCTGTGCTATTCAGCATCAGTGCAGCTGTCCCATGACACCTCACCACCCCACTTCCAGCTGGGTCAGAGGCTGCAAGGTGGAGGAACCCTGCACAGATATAACATGTGTGACCTTTGAAGTCAAGGGGAATACCTCATGTCATGATGCAGGACAGACTCACAGCATTAACAACACCTTTAGAATATTAAAAATTATTTTTAAAAATTTTTCCCAAGTTTTCACTTTAATGGACTAAACTGAGATCTTGGAAAGGAGTAAATATCCATATAGTTTTCTTGGTATATTTTTGTAATAAAATATTTAAGTAAAATAGTAAAAAGACCCACAAAAACATCTAGAAAGTATCTAGAAAGTAGCATAACATCAAGCATGGCAACTGTTCCAAAAGTGTGACAATGCACCACATCAGCTAAATGGCAATCTTTCTTACTGGAAACAACATTTTGCAGCTACAGTGGGTTCGGTTCAGCTGGTGCGTTTGTGATGCCTAGGACAAGACAGGTAACACTCTGCACACCAATTCAATGTCCACTGCAGATTAAACTGAATTACAGTGTCCACTACAACGACTATGTATAAAGTTCAGAGTGACCACAGAAACAGAGCAGACCTGTGCTTAGGTAACAAACCTTTCCAGAAATTCTGGGTGAATCCATGTAAGAACCTTTACTCTGGTGATGCATCCTTTCCTCCTCTGACTGGTTCAGCAGAGACACCTGTAACGGGGCAGATCCCTGCTGACAGTCACTCACACTAACACATTAAAAAAAATTCACATCTATTTTCTGGTTCATATGCAGATCTGGCATTCCTCATTGTAAAGCTGCAGTGATATGCACACATACCACTTCATCTGTCACTACCTCCTCCATCTTTGGTTTCCCAGATACTTCTTTTCAAGGCTGGCCAAACTGTCTCATGCCATAGAGTAGCTAAAGGAATTCAAAAGGAATTAAAAAACAGGTGGATGAAACCCATTTTACCTTCCTCACTGAAGCACCTCAATAGCTCTTACTTGTGGCCTGAATACCCTCTGCTATTAATAATAGAGTAGGCCCTTAAAAATCCTTTCATCCCATTTCACTGCTTTCTCTGATGTCCCTTGTTTTTCTAATATTGCCAAAAGTAACATTTTTAATGTATTCTCATTTTACACTACCTCTATTTGCCCTGGAATAACCTGCCTGATAGATGAGATGAAGTGAAAAGAAACTCCACTCCCTCTGTGACTTGTGCCACTTGCTGTTTTTTAGCAGTTAAGGATGCAAACTTTCCTGGTGATTCAGGGCAATTAAGGTCTTCACACACTCCCAAAAGTTCTTCACTACTGAGAATCAATTCTGAAAAGTGAAGAAGGTTCATGCAGTGCATCTTTGTCTCAAAGCTACTCCCAAACAACTCCAAAGTATTTCCATAAAGGAAGTGTTAAATGAACACACTTTTTTTCCTCAGAAACTCCACAGCTAATGAGCAGAAAACAAGGCAGAGACTAAGGCTTGTGAGGAGCAAGTCTGCAAGCTGTGTGTGCAACACTGAACTTGCTCCTATTTATATTCTTAGGCAGAATCACAACCTGGAATTTCTTTCTACTTTGAAATTGCAGGCATTAGCAAGTTATACTCACTCAAGGCTTCTCATAAAAACCTCTGTTTTCATCCTAGGACTGAATTTGTTTCAGTGGTTACAGACTGCCAGTAGGGCACCTCAGAAAAGTTTCTGGCCCTTCTGGCATGTGTAAGTGCACACACATTCATGCACAGTGCTCTAACACCTACATTTCAAGCTAAACAGGAGGAGGAGGGTGACTTGGCATCAGAAATTAGGAAGTTGTGGTGGGAGAACCCTGGAAAGAATAAAGAATCAGGCAGACATTTTCAGAAGCTAGGGCTTAGCCAAATTATTATCATATGGGATAGAAGGACACAACTTTAACATTCATGGAGTCCCTAAGTCAGTGGCACAAAGCAGCTGTCTTGAGTATGTTCACAGTCAGCATTGCTAGAGAGGTGACACACTATCAGTCAATAAGCAAAAACAGGCCACTGCAGTTATGGCTGGCTTCTAGTCTCCATTACACAGCTTATTCTGTAAGCTGTTCACATAATTAGAGGAGTATTTTCCAATATATACAAAATTCCATATGGTGTTTTATGAATAGTACCATGGGAACTCCTTTAGAGAATTATGACAATGTTTTTGTTTTCTTTTATTTAATTGTTAAAGTTCACTGTGAGACCATGAACAATTCTATTTTAGAAAGAGATACATATGTTCTCTGTTTCCAGTCTGATTCCCACAGATTTCACTTGGTTTCCAAATCCCTGAAGAGATCTGACTGACACCAGCCGGTAAGGGCAGAGATTAATAACTGGAGGGCCAGCCAATGGATGATGCATGATGCCATCATCAGGTTTTGCTGCTGAATGAAAAGAGAACACTGAAAACACAGTTTCCATGTCACCTTTCAACCACCAGCAGGAGTGAAACTTCCGAAAGCAAACAACTCACACCAGGGGTGCATAGGCAAAACTTGGGGTGTGGGGTTTCTAAGAGGGAATGCAGAAGCTTGCCTATGGAATTAAGTGTTCTGCCAGCTTCACAATCTAATTAGCAACTGAAAAAGCAAGTCATTTAATGGAGTCACAGAATCACTGGATGGTTTTGACTGGAAAGGACCTTAAAGACCACCCAGTTCCAATCCCCCTGCCATGAGCAGAGACACCTTCCACTAGACCAAGTTGCTCCACACCCCATCCAAACTGGCCTTGAACACCTCCAGGGATATGTCAACCACAGTTTGTCTGGGCAGCCTGTGCCAATGCCTCATCACACAGTGAGGAATTTCTTCCTAATATCTAACGCAAACCTGTTTACTTGTCAGTTTAAAGCC